GTTGTCTACTATTATTATTAAGTAAAGGTATTATTAGTATTGGAGTATAATAATATTTGAAACTAAACAGTGATTCATGCATAAGTATTTAAGAAAAAAAACTATTCACTAACCTTATTTGTTTCTTGGGTAGTTTAAATCAAATTTTCATTTTAAATATGAGGTGATACATCTACTTTATTTATATGATTTTATTTCTCTATGATTTCTTTGAATAATAAATAAGAACATTTATGAGTAGAAACAAATTACATTTTTATTAAATTATTATTGTTATAAATTAATAAAATCATTTTTTTTTTTAAATAGACTTGTTTGAATTTTTGATTATAATGATATTGAATAAACCATAATAGGTACTGAATAAACTGCAATAAATGTACTATGTGCAATAATAAAATACCCATATTCTACTACTAAATCATAAATGAATTTTGTAATTTATTAGGTATTAATTCAAAAATTAAATTTGAATTTTTGAATATATTTTTTGATCAGTTTTGATTTGAATAATTTTAAAGGAGTTTGTAATGTTAATAACAAATAAGTGCACAAATATATGCATATTTTGTACGTTTTTAAAGTTATAATATTATAACTATAACTATAACTCTAATTATAATATTATGTAGAAATTTTAATAATTTAAAATTGTAATACTTACATCAGGTCTGGACTTCTTTTTAAAACTTTTCAGTATACTTAGTATTATTTGTAGCTGATTTTCTTTTTTTTTGATTCCATTTTGAGTTTTGGGTTTCAAAATATTACTAACAATTATTTACTGTAGGTGTAAAACAGTGTATAATACACAAAATCACGAGAAACATTAATATTATACAGTGGGACTGCACAGGTTCGTAGTTTGAGTATTCATTATTCGAAAATTACAATATTGTAAATCTCTAATTTATGTTTTTATTATTAGATTATGTTTTTAGAATTGTGAACTGTAGACTGCGGTTATATCCATTATCGGATTATTCGCTGTCTAATATCTTTATGTGTGTAGTATGTAGGTACAGTGTGTGGTAGTGCACTCCGTGCTTATAAATATTAAAAATGATAATATAATTGACCATTTATATTGAAACCGCACTTAATGGCTATTACTTACCGAGTACTTAAGTATAATAAACTAACTATTAAGTATTTTCAATTTTTTTACATTTCATAATAATTTATAAATTTGTATTTGAACTTTGAACTTCTGATTTTCAGATATACATAAGACAATATATAAATACAGCTCATGGTGGGGATCTATCCCCCATATCTCTTCCCCGTAATTACGACACTGTGTACTGGTGGCATTATTAATTTATTTTTTAATTCATTGAATGCGTTTTCATGGTAACTCGGTTAAAGGAAAAGTGATTTTACTTAAGTTTGGAATTTACGGGCGAAAATAATAATAATTTGCCTATCCCAAAAATTACGCAATTGATTTATAAGTTGAAGAAGTTACTTATGTAATTGATCTAAGCTATTCGTCTATAGGACGAATACCTTTACTGTCAAATAATAAAAATATTTCCTGAAATTTTTAACTCTGTGTACCTAAATTTATATTTTAATAAATTAAATTGTTTAGTTTCTTATTTCTCAATTTATTTCTTAACATACGGTTTTTAGTCGGTGAAACAAATTTGTCTTTAAAAATTCGTTCTATTTCATCAAAAGTTAAAGTTAAGCTATCCATTTTTAATGTTTCATACAATTATTTATTGGCTGCATTTTTTTTTTAAGTATAATGGTAAATAAGTAAATTTTATTTGTGAAGTCCAATCATTAGCAATAGCTACGATATTATAGTACTCAAAAAATTCTATAGCATATTTATTACCTGGATCGTGAGAAAAATTATTTCTTAAAAATCAGGATCACAGAAATGAGCGCCTCTACCAATTATAACGTCTCCTCTTTACCGGACGGTTTTCCGTTTGACATGTTCTTTGAGGCAAAGTTAAGTTTATATCAACGAGGTATCGGGGACTAGACCTTGGAGTATAATAATAACACTAGAGATCAGGGTTACCTTATTTAAGTACATAATACAAGTTCATAAATATTTCGTATATTGATACAATAATACACATAATAATATTATATAATAGATAATGTAAAAAGAATGTGAGGGTTACCGGGTATGGTGTGTCGGACGTGCCGTGTATGTCGGTGTTCTCTGATGGCTGTATGGATCGTCGTGGAGTCTTCTCCGCTATCATGTTTCTATTTGTACCGTACACTCACCAAGCACTTAATGGTGATTATTATATACCACGATAAGTTCCGGAAAACCTTAAGTCAGCAGTCGGCCCTACTCACCATTTTTTACGCTCAACGCTTATCATACTCAGTCTTACCTAAGGAGTAATGTACAATGTCGATAGATTGCAATGGTTATACCTTGTTCTTTTAATTTAAACAACGATAATGCGAGAGAAAAATAAATTGAAAATATAAATTTTGTTTACTGACAATGCAATTCAATGTTAAAAATTTTAAAAGTTGTAATACAATGGGTAGTATTATATGTTAATGCCTGGTTTTATTTCATGGAAACTTAAAATCGAGTAAACCTAACATATACGATAATTGATAGCTAGAACTGATAATAAATTAAATTAAAATTATGGAGTGAAGCAAGTTCTCTAAAATAATACTAAATTATTGTAAACGGTTAGCCATATTACAATTTTTAAATTAATCATTTATTAATTGAAAACACTCCATAGTAGTCAGTTATATATTTATAATGAGTAAAATTTTCGTGCGTATAATATTTACTATTTATTAATATACTAAAAGAAAATCACTCATCTAAAAAAAATATTTTCATTTATTAAGGAAAAAATTTTTTAGATTCTAAGTGATGTATATATTTTTAATAAATTAATAGTGTAATAGTGATACTATATATTATAATATGTAATCATAATAAATATAGTTACAAAGCCACAATTCAAAAGTTTAATAGAAATATATTATAAAGATAATTATTTTTTATACCTACAAAATGGAAGTTGAATATATATGTATTGCGTATTAGTATTTTTTTGATCATTTTTGTAAAAACTAAAAAAAAGCTATGAAAATTAGTAAAATTCATTTTTTTTAAAGTTAATTCAGAAAATAATAAGTAAACACGGAGAAGTTTAATTGTACACGGTCATGGTTTTTATCCACGGTGGATAATCGTTTACAACTAAACATGGATTATTAAAACGGCATGTGCGAACGGGAAAATCAAAACGCGTAGCCAATCTCTTTGATTCATGCGTGTTTAATTCTCAGTCAAACGCGATCTAAATAGTCTGATAATATTAGTAAACTCTGTATTTCAAAAATGAACCTGTTCAGACGTGGTTGTTGATCGTTGCAATTCGTTAACGAATACCTAGGTACTGAATTTCCATTTGTGAAGTCATCTTAGTTTAAGAACATAATGATAATAATTAAGGCGCCGTGCCAATTTTTTTTTTTTTTTTGGTTGTTTTAATTTTATATTCGAATAAAACTTGTGAAAAGGGAGAGAGAACTTCACACTACGCAAATTTATGGAATCGTGAACATTTTAATTGCTATTACATGATTCTGCATGATTTTTTATGCAACGTTGCCATTATACTTGTATGCTCTAGACTTTAAAGTTTAGAGTAAAGTCAAATCATAATTTATAATATGTACACAATATACATAACTTAATTTATTATATTAAAACTTAAAATAAAAAAAAAGCTTATAAGTAAAGAAAACCAGTGTCAAATATAAATTTATTATATATAAAATTAAAACAATAATTTGAAAATAGATAAATATTTTAAAAGTTTTTTATTATATTCAGGCACAGTAATTTTTCTATTTTGTAATGATTACTATTTTTTTTTTCCATTATTAAGTATGATTATAATATGATTTAAATGTTGTATTTTTTTTTTTATGAATAAGATTTTTTTTTTTTATTTTAGTTATTAAACTATTGAAAACAAATGAGTTCTGCCATTTAGCGAAAATTATTATTAGATTAGGCTTTAAAATTTTAAATATAATAAAATAAATTACTTTTTTTTTTAATGGATTAAGAATTTTTTTATGTTTAGGTTTTATGTTTACTACCTCTATACGTAAAAATATTAGGAAGGTATATGGTATTATAAAATTATTATAAAATGTCATCATAATATTATATAAAAAATTATTTGATTATATTTCAATTGTTCAAGTTTTCGTATTCAAATCTGTAATCATTGCTTTCTTACCTATTAAAAATAATAATATATTCCTATAATATAATAATGCTAAATCAAGATTCGATGCAAAAACTAGTTTCTGTATCTATTATCTGGTTTAAAAAAAGAAAAAATATTGTAAAACATTTATTGAACTACATAAAAATTTTCTTAAATTGTATAATATAATATATAATAATATACTGTCATATAACTATTTTTCGGTGATACACCTCTACCCAACTTGAGAACTCAAACGACTATAAATTAATCGGTTACAAAACAGACCCGGAATCTTAGCTACTCAAAACAAAATGTTAATTTGCACTAGGTACTGAAACTACTTTACTAAAAAAAACAAACATACAAAAATGTGGATCTTTCGAAAACGCAATATATATATTGTTCGTGACTCGATCGAAAACTAGCATTGCCGTTATCGCGATGCTCATATTCTTAAATATTATTTATAAATATATGCTGGTTCAGCTCATTTACTTCATTGACCTATACTATGTACGAATATGATACTGGCTTTTTAAAAATATTGTTAATGTTAATATTTTATTTTATTTTGAATGTACCAAATTAGTTAGTGCGTTCAACAATATGCATTATTAGTAATTTAAGTAATTATGTTGATGCTCGTATTATAAATTTTAACTGAATATTCACATTAATGATAATATTAATATTATTGGTGTTGCTGGATTAAATATATTGTACATTGAACACATTTTCAATTTTTGTCTTACGTTTGGTTTACAGGTATGATGAAATACCAATATATATATGTTCAAGTTCAAGGCAAAAACCAATTACGTGGAAACAATTTATAGATTTAAATAAACGTCATGGTATTCACTGGCCTACGATTCGAGCGATTTGGTATTATTCGTTATGGATTACTAAATATCCATTTATGTACGCAATATTACATTTTTTTTGTCACATTGTGCCTGGGTATACACTCGACAAATTAGCTGGTTTTGCTGGACAAAAACCAATGTTAGTAATGGTTTAAATAAACAATTAACACAAGGCAATTTATTAAAGTATATACACTTATCATTTTGAAAAGTCTCAATTTATTTTAAATTATAATTTTTATGACTATGTTTTTACTTTTTTTTTTTATATCAATATATATTTTTAATTTCATATCCCGAAGTAGCATATTTTTTGGAGTATTATGTATCATAAAAATTAAATTTCAAACAAATAGTTAATTAGTTAAAAGTATTTTAAGTTTAGATGAGTGGAGTAGTGGATCATTATATTTTTATTGTTCAGTGTGTAAATTTGCTCGACTACTCAAAATACCTATAAATAATTATAATTAGGTAATTGATTAGGAATTTTGATTTTTATGTATCAAATTAGTCCAAGAAATATTCTGTATTTGAATGAAATATTAAATTAAAAATGTGTGTTGTCATTCAAAAAGATAAATAAATAAAAATATTTTTTGGAATGACGTGCAATTATGTAAAAAAATAAAGGTATTTTTTTAAAAGTTAACTTTAAAACTTTAAAGTTTAACTTTTCGAAATAATCAGTGTAGACAATTACCTTGTACTTAAACAATGAAGAGGTATATACAATATTATTTTTTATGATTATTTAATTACTATTTTATGGCTTGACAATTAGTGGTAAATAGTTAAACTGTTATAGTTTTATTTAAAGAAAATAATATAAATATATTATTGTATTTATATTTCAAATAGATTGATGAATATTTATAAGAAGATTGATAAAGTAAGTGATATCTTAGCCTATTTTGCTAACACAGAATGGACGTTCATAAACGATCGACTTGTGGCCTTATGGGATACTCTCGATAGTCGCGATAAAGAATTATTCAATTTCGACATTCATCAATTATCGTGGGATTATTTTTGTCAGGCACACTGTCTTGGTTTAAGAGTTTACCTTATAAAAGATGATATACATACATTGCCTGCAGCCAGGAAAAGATGGCAAAAGTAAGCTATACAGCTCAGAAAAATATTAATTTTTTTATTTTAAATTAAAAATAAATATTATTTATATTTTTTACAGATAGTTTAATATTAAACTGATTTATATTTTTCCAAATTTGATTAGTCTTATTGTATTAAATTGAATTAATTGTATTATTATTTTCAGATTGTATATATTACACAATATTCTGTTACTATTTGTGTACGGAATCATGTTGTATTGTATTTGGTTAATGATGTCTATGCCACTAAAATTGATTGGGCTAATGTGAAACAATTTAAGGAAATTTAAACCATAAACTTTATTTAATGTATAATAAAGTAGTTAAATAAAGGTATTAATGTACGTGATGACTATTAAATTCAAGTCAGAGTACTATAATATTTTTTTCTTTAAATTGATTCATTATTATTGGTAAATAATTGAAATAGCTTAAACTATGTATGTATAATACACTATATGTGATTATTTTTGAAATTTAAAAAAAAAAATGTAAATAAATAGTAATAGAAGTTGACGAAATTGTTTTCCGCTTTAAAACCAATTTTGAACGTTTAAATTAGCATTATTTAAACATAGCTTATTGATATTAATAGACATTTTTCTATTAAATTTAAATTATTGAAAAAAAAAAAATTATTATCTAGTGTAAGAACTCATTTTTCTATAATTTTTGTTTCTGTAATAAACTTTGTATATTATATTAGATTATACTAATCTATTATCTTACAATAATACTGTTATTAACTAAATTGTAAGTGACTACATGTCATTATTATTTAATAGTATTATTTTGGTGTATGACATTTTTTTTAAGAAATTTTACTTTGTATTAAAATTATGATAATGTATTATAAAATGTCGTTGATTACACGATGATGATGACTCAGTAAATAGTTATTGTTTTATTTTTATCAAGGCTTGCATTTGAAAAAAAAAAATGTTATACGTTATTTACAATCATAACGTTATATACATTTTGAGTTTATCGTTATTCAAAATTTAACGTTATTCAATTTTTGCGTTTATCGTCATTCAGAATTAAAATTTTTATTTTATTTTATAATTTAATTTTTTATATTTATAAAATCTACATATAAAAATTTATTTTTTATAATTTTTTTTTATTTATAGTAATTGAAATTTAATTTTTTTTTTTTTTAATGATATACTATATATAACATTTCGCGTTATGTATTGTTTGATGATATGTAATATATTTTGTTTTATGTTATTTAATTATTTATGTTTTTCGTTTTCCATTATAATTACGTTTACAAATTTTAAACGTTGTTATCAAATATAACGTTATATTCATAACGTTATTATACATATAATAACATTTGTTTATGACATATGATGTATGTGCATATGCATCAGTCCATCAGTGTAGTGATGATCAAAACAAGACCAAGACCAAGACTTTCAAAATCTTGGTCTTGGTCTTGGTCTTGCAGACTCAGTCTTGGTTTTGGTCTTGGGCATACACCTTAATATTGGTCTTGGTCTTGCAGACTCAGTCTTGGTCTTGCGCAAGACTCTTGCTATTTTCACAAAATATATAAGAAAAAAAAATATTTGTTATAGCTGTGTGTAGGTTTTTTGCTATGATCTCTAAGGTGAAACTTAAGTTCAATATATTATATGGTTTATTCATAAATCAAACATTACATAAAACAAGTCAAACAATTTAATTTTTATTATACTCGTTTAAAACTTTGCATTTTAAATTATGCTTAGGTATATTATATTACTCATATTTGTGTTTGACGAATCAATTAACCAGCATAATTAACTTTATAAGTTCTTATTACATTTATAATAAATATAAATAGGTTATTACTAATTACTAATTATTGACCAATATAATGTTTATAAAAATTAAATTGTTGTTTTTTTAATGTTCACTTTAACAAATAATAATATTAAAAAAAACTGTATGGTTTGTTCCAAATATAAAATTGTTTAATGATTATATATTTATATTTGTTATAATGATAATATTTATTATTAAACTTTTATTGTTCTTTTATTCACTAGTGTCCAGTACAGTTGTACTAAATGTTTAAGTTTCTTTTAATATAATATATTGGCTATAGACCATTTGTGTATATCTTATTAGGTACATTTTATTTTTACAAAAAGTTTTGAATTATCTTAATGTCAACTAAGTTAAGTAGTAACATTGTATTTAAGATAAAGTGCATACCCACATCAATAAATAAAACTGTTATGTACAACCCACAATAATTAAAATGTGTTACTAAATGAGGTAAATTATAATATTAATAATGATGTTAAATTAAAATTTTAATAATTTTAAAATTGTGACAACCGTTTAATTCTCAGCATTTATTATTTTTGGTAGACAACATCTTTTAAATATAAGTTTTGTTTTATTATTTAGTTTTAAAATTTTACTAAAGAAAAAAATAAACAACTAAATCATTTATAAATTAAGAATAGTGCATTTATAATACAATTATTATTAGTATATTCGATTCAAAGTAGAGTTCTATTAGCAAGGCAACTTTCGAAAATTTGACGTCTTTATCGATTTTGGGAAAATAAATAAATTTTTTTAGTAATTGCTGATTAGTATGAAAAATTTTATTTTGTAATATTAATTCCAATTATTTCTAATCTTTTTTTTAATAATTCGCCATTTCCTCAAATTTAATAACAATAAAAATATTTTCTTATTATTCTAGTTATAAATTATTAGTTAATGAAATCTAGATAAACTAATGTGTTTTCGGGGAAAAAAAAAATTTGCGAGACTGCAAGAGTCTTGCAGTGATAGTCTTGTTTTGGTCTTGGTCTTGGTCTTGCCGCAAGAGTCTTGCGAGACCGCAAGACCAAGACCAATTTTGATCATCACTACATCAGTGTATTATTAATGTGAAAAAAATTAAAAAGTACATATTTAAAGTTAAAAAAAACATTTTTTTATTAACAAGTTTAAATCGTGAGTTATACCTTTGAAAAATCTAATTAAATTCATCATAACAATACAATATTTATTATTAAATTATTTTACGCTCTTAAAAAATAGTACTTTATTAAATGTTATATGAGAATAATAACTGATAACTTATATCAAATTTCAAGTGTGGAATGTATCTTGAAGTTATGATGTGTGTTTACGTATTTATGTAATACAAATTTTGGTATACTAATTATACTATAATTCGTTTGCATTATTTATATTTTAACTGAAGTTATATTTAAAATGTTGTAAAAATTAATTTTAAACAACAAATATAATGTTCAGGAAAAAATTAATTATATTTACTGTTTTATTAAAAAACGTGTAATAAAATATATATATAAAACATTAGCTGAAAAGATATAAAAACCATTAAATGGTTTAAATAAATTTTATTGTCAAAATATACTTTGTGTGCATTAATATAGTTTAATGAATGGTCAACCATAAATGAGTAACTACTTACAATCATACATTACATCAATATATAAAACGTTAAAAATAAGGTTTTATAGAGAATAGTTACTTACAAACCGCACACGCAAAGTCATCGCATGTAGTAATTGGTATACTAATACAAGGACGTCTGCAAAAATTTTTCAAGGAAAGGGTAATATAAATTTTTAATTATATAGTACTAATGTCGCATACCTATATCTAATTAAAATAGAGTCTACATTTTTTCAAAAAATGTTTTTATAATTTCGAATTTTTAAATTTAAAATAATTATTTAGAATATCTAATATTTGAATTAATTTGAATTAAAATTTTAAGTTTTTGAAGTTAATAATATAAAATACTAAAATAATTATCATTTACTATTCATGAATTATTTTTAATTTTATTTAATTATAGTATTGTATCATGTAATATATCTAATGATAACCGTAGAGAACACAGTAAAATAATTATTTCATTCAACAGAACGATGATTATAAAGGTAGTTCATGATAGTTATATATACTTTTTCCAGGAAAAAAGTAAATTCGATATAAAATAATATTTAAGACCTAAATTATTAAATGTTTTAAAAAATACGAATTTTATTATTTAGTAAGATTTAAACGAGTGACACAAAATAACAATCATAAAAACTATAATATTGATCGAAGTAGGGGATGAATTGGTTATTCGAAAATATAAAGGATACCTATAAGATTATTACTTGTTAAGCCACTTTATAATAGCTAAAATTTATCTTAATTAAACAATTTTACTAATATATGCTTCAATATTTTAAGTATTAACTATTCTTACTTTCTTACATCATTGCTTAACATTGAATCAAATTAATACTAGGTACTAAGAAAATCAAAAACAATCCCTCTAAATTGTATATGCAGTTTTAGAAACAATAGAGTTGAAGTCAGGTTGTTCTTTTACAAAGAAATTATAATAGACAAAATTCTGTTGCCTCAAATATAGAATACAAAGATAAAATGGATATTTCTATATTGATATTGTTACTTCATCGTTACAATATTACTAGCAAGTTATTAGTGTATTATAATTTATAATATTACATTTTTAAGTATCGAGTTAAAAAAAAATAATGATAATAGAGTATTGATGTATTAAAATAAAGTTTGTTTTTTTTTCTACGATAAATACAATGTAAATAAATAGATCATCATCATTCCGCTATACCATTTGAGATGTGCCAGTCACACTTTAAGCTTAATAGTTATTTTTTATTAGTTACTTCTGATTTCTCGAAGGTTATTAAAATTTTACCAGTTAGTAAATTACATTTAGAAGTAGTTATTTGGGGAATATATTAAGACGTCCAAAATCTGCTGAAATCATAATAAATATTATATTAGGTTGTTCATTAAGTTATCTTTATCAATAAAAGTAAAATTTATTTGTTCCGATTAGTGAACACTTAATAGTCAATTTCTTATGTATAAAGTCAAATTAAATCAGGTATTTTAACATTTAAATATGAATAATATTTTTAAGATTTAGATAAAGAATAAAAATATTTAGGTGAGCTTAGGATTTGTAATTTTATTAAAATCAATTTTATATGTTTTAGATTATTTTCAAACAAATGTTTGCTTTAATTATTAAAAGAAAAAAATTAGGGCCTTCTATAGTTAATTGAATTTTATAATATTCTAATGATATTTTAATATAATTTGAGAGATTTGATGTTTTTTAAATTTAACTCTAGAAGTTAATAATGCTGTTTTAGTTTTATGTTTTCACACTACATTTAAATTATGTTAGGTTTTAGAAACAACGATCAAGACGAACAAAGAATTTAAAATTTATGTATTCATGTTATAGAATATTATGTAAGCGTATACTGATTATTGAATATAATGAGTACATGTGGAATGAACGTAAATTAAATATATAAATATAATACATAAATTAATAAAATTAAAAAAATATTTTCTCACAATTCAAATTTTATACCAACGTGTGAATAACACACGAAAATGCAAATACAAACATACCTACTCTAATAGACCTAAACCTAAACCGAATAAGAACAAATTTGACACCGCTAACTATAGGCCCATATCCCTCATCAATACGCTAAGTAAAACAATAGAAAAAATGGTAAACAAACGCTTCGTTTGGTACTTGGAGACATCTAACATAATAACAAACGAACAATGTGGATTTCACCGTAACCATTCAACCCTTGACACTCTTTCTTCTTTACATACGGACATAACTAACGCCAAAAACCAGAATCAACACCTAATATTAATAGCCTTAAACCTGGAAAAAGCTTATGATATGGTATGGCGAAATAGAGTCCTTAAAATCATCCAAGAATGTGGAATAAATGGTAAAATGTTCCAGTTCCTCCAAAATTTTCTAAATAATCGTACAATACTAGTCAAAGCCCACAATAAACTATCAAACAGTTACCTAACTGAAAACGGCCTCCCCCAAGGCTCAGTAATCAGTGTAACAATGTTTCTACTAGCCATCAATAATATATTCAAAGAAATACCTAAACCTACAAAACATCTATTATTTACCGATGACTGCCATATTTATTGCAGCGGACAAGACATTAAAATCGCCCTCCCTACAATCACTGACATCCCAGTTAATGATATAATACTATCAATTAGACAAAAAACAAACATGGTATGACAAAGCCACTGGGATTCCGTTCCACTTTCCAACAAACTTAAAAAGATTAAAAAATGCACAAAAAAGTGGCACATTCCGCAAAACCTAAGCAGACGACACGAAGTTGCTCTAACCAGATTAAGAATTGGACATTGTTTTCTGACACATGCTTTTCTAATAAGCAAAGACCCACCACCTATTTGCAAAGAATGCCATGAAAACCTATCCATACAGCATATCATCCAAGACTGCCCATCATTCCAAAACATACGAAACACACTATCGATACCAGGCAACCTAGAAGAAGCACTAAATGAAGACTACAGCACAAAAACATTAAATTTCCTCACAATAATTAATATTATAAATAACTTATAAATCATTATTATCAACATTTATACTATGAAAAATTTTATATGACTCAAATATATTTATATGTTATAACTTGTATTCTATAATTCAAAATTAATGTAACACTCACTATGTAATACTTACAAGGCTAATAACCTTAGTCGTTGAAGCCTCTTTTCAATATATATATAAAAAAAAAAAAAATTAGTATTCTTCAACCTTATAACAATACTTCATTTTAGAATAAATATCAAATTTAGGAACAGATGGTCTGATGATAGTTATTTATTTTGCTATAATTGCTTTTATAATAATGATATTTAATATAAATATATATATATATTATTTCAGGAGACATCAACTAGATAGCTTTCCGCATTACTATATCATTCTATTTGTTATAACATAATATACATATGTACATATATGATATATATTATTCCATATAAATTAAAAGTTTAAGATATATATGATTAATAATTTATAATTGATTATATTTTAACTATTTTATATTGTTGTAGAAATTAAATTATTTAAAAGTGACATTCAATTAAATGTTACTAATAACCATGTAATAATGAACTCATTTGATTTTATTTGGCGCAAGACGCAAATTCTTCCATGTGACCGAGAGAAGGATAGATAATATGTGTCTTGTGTACGTACAGTGTGTGTACCTATAGTACAAGGCCTTGACGTGTATAGTTATGACATCAGTAATTCCTCAATCCAGTTACTGTGTCAGAGATTTGAGTTTGCACTCACGGTCATTCCGTCGCTGTACTTCGTTCAAGTAGTTTCTATTTACAGAGTGCCAGTATTCATCATCAATCGTTTTTTTGAAAGAGGTAAGCACTTAATTAATTTTTATTAAAACTCTTTGTTAATTATTCTTATTTATTATATTTATTTAACCGGAAAATAATTAGTACTAGTTTTTGATAAAAACTACAATTTTTATTAATATAGAAACTATTTTAAGCAGAAAATTATATCAATAATATTATAAAAGCTTAATATTTTAAATCGCGGTGAGACATGTTTTTTTTTTTAATTATTAAAAATATATTAGAATAAATCAATTATAATGAATTCATTAAATTAATAAAACATTCAATATTAATGTAAATATTTACAATAATAAAATTGTATAAATAATATATTATACATAGGAAGGCCAATCTTTTAGAGAAAAACACATCTCTGCGCTAATATATATTAGACACTACTTAATAATTTTAATCTGATAACTATACATAATATTATTGATTTTTTTATTTATTCATTTATTTCGTAATACAACTTTGTTTGAAATTCCAAACAACTGACATTTACCGTGATTATTATTATTTGCTGTATATTCATCCGGTTTTATTTTATATATTAAAATAACAAATATTATGGTAACTTAGATACAAATTAGATTTATAGGCCGTTTCTCTTGTGTTATTATTTTTCTTGAATTGGTCAACATTTGTATTTTATGGGTTGTTAATATTATTATTTATTATTTATTAATTTACTCTTGTTTCGTTATCATGAAATAATCAGTAAAAATACACTTTATGTTTTATTTAAATACGGGCATATAAGTAATTATTTTGGTAGCTTATTAAATTTAAATTTAAATAAAATAGAATATTTTAAGAATTTAAAAAACTATACTTAATATTAAGACAATGCCATAGTTATGACACGTGAAAGCAATAGTTGGAGTTGCTAGAACATTTCGTAATTTTAAAATGGTATGTCGTTATTATTCGTGTAAATTATTTTATGAGTATATCTTAAAATATTAGATGAACAATTACACATGTAACAGTGTAATGTTAAAACACAATAATTTATACATTAAATTAGTGTCTATAATAAAGTTTCGCTTTAATATTTTAATGTTAAAACAAAAATATGATTATTAAGGTAGAAAAATAATTAATAGTTAAAAACGTAATGTATTTTGTATTTCTAATCAAATGTGTTGGGAAACGTGTAATGTTTAATATATTATATAGGTTAGGATAGATATCCAATAAAAAACAAGTTATATTTGGGACTTGATATTGACTTTGTAATATAATATAGGTATAGTACCCAGGTATATTAATTGTTGAATGGACATTTTAGGCGTCTTCAGGTCAAGGTAACCATGTGAGAAAACGCAATGAGTTAGATTCCAAAATTCCAATCATATTAGTTATCATATTAGAACTAAACCCAATGCAGTTTTCATAATTTTATGAAACATTATAATCAATGTATTTATATATTACGTATATTTTATTTCATTCAACTTACGTTTAATATAATTATTTAGATCACTATAATTATAAAGTAATATATAACTTTCAAAAATTAAACCAATATTTTTATGCATGCAAATATTTATCAAAAATATAAATATTACGTTATATATACATTAATATTCACTATAAAAATTCTCACAAGAATATATCGTTAATAATATATTAAAATAAAATATATAATTTAAGTTATAGATAGGTTACTTATGCTCTATTAAATTGTAATAATTGTATAGATATAGACTTTAATTTTTAGATATGCCAGAATTTCAAACTTATAAATTTATAATTCTTAATTAAATACTATTCATATATTTTTTTTTTTTTGCAGTTATTGAGTCTAAAATTCCAACAATATGGCTCTCGATTTACATCGTAAGTATATCGAGAAAAGGCAAGACAGTGCACCGTTAGTGCCTATCAAAGATATAATAAATTCCAAATACTACATGGATCCTCTGGAGCTTTTGGGTGAGCGGAACTTTAACGAACCTCGAGAAGTTGATGAGTCTGAAATCGGAAGTCCAATACAAGAATTTTTTCGGGATGCAGTTGTATTTTTAACCGGTGGTACTGGTTTTATGGGCAAAGTTCTATTGGAGAAACTACTTAGAACATGTCCTCATATTAAACATATTTATTTACTGATCCGATCTAAGAAGGGCAAAAACGTCGATCAACGACTGGAAGATATATTCGAGGACCGAGTAAATATAAATATTTATTTTTATTAACTTTTATTTTTCATAAATTTAATTTAATTTGATTTATATCGTAATGAAATATTAAGCTCTTCTTCAACTAAGTTTTTAAACTTATAATTCAAACAATTTGATTTATTGTTTCTTAGATTGAGAAAATAAATGTTTTTATTATATATAGGTGGAGTATGTGTATTATCATAGTTGTAATTCGGGCCTATGCTATTCGTTGGAAAGGGGTGGAACAAATAAAATTGATTTAACTCTTATAACTTAAACATAATAATAAAAATATGCATATTTAATGTATAAATAAAATTTAAAAGTATTCCAATAGTGCCTATATTTAATATAAATTTAAATGTTATATTTATAAGAAGTTTTTTGGAATTTATAAATCATTATTAATCAAATATACGGTTAATGTTAACTGCATTGCGTTGGTTATTTATAGCATCTAATTTATTGGGGTTAAAAAAATATTTGATTCTCAAAATTATACTTAGAGCACTATTTTTTGAATATAATTGTACATTTTTCTTCTTGTATTAATCTGAACTAAATGAATTAATAGTAAATGTGTGCATCATTTAATATCTTTTTAATCTATTTTAATAACTATGGTTTAAGTTGTTTCATATATTATCCTAGTATCTCACTATTGATTAGTTGTTTTGAAATTTATATACCTTTTGTGGTACAACGATCTTTCATGGATCTTGATTTTTGATTTCATACTATGATATGTTTTTAATAAAGTCTATAGAATAGTTAATATTTGTATAAATTTACAAACGTATATCTAGCATATACATATTATAGGTATATTTATAGTACGTGTACAATATGTAATTCGAAAATGATGTACATCCTCTTTTTTTCATTAAACAAGTATCTATTTGAAATTTGTTTAACATTTTATAGGAAATTTTAAATATCTGTTATAACCGGTATATTTTACATTGAGATTAATCAACATTTCATAACACAACGTGTGCATTTGTGTGCATACTATAAGTCGTCTGATCGAGTTTATTAGATTACATCATGATATTTGCGAGAGACGCTCGCTTGACGTCCTTGAATTTCTTTAGTGTTTAGTGGAAGTGTTTACATGTAAATACACTTTCTATTTAATAAAAACTAATTTTAGGTCAGTCGTCAGTAGACTTTTAAACAGGATGGTACGAAATAATTTTTTTAAGTATTTAGTAATGTCTAATTTTGAATTATTGATTATATAAGATATATTTTGAATGGGAGAATCTTAAAATTGTCGGTCTAATGTACATACTAAATTTGTGTTTAATGTACAAGTATAGTTGTACCTGTACAAAGTGTACAAGCTTTACGTATAACTGTGCTACATGATACTTTTAATAATTTTAGTATCAAAAAAAAATAAAAATAAAAATATTATCTGAAACAACGTACGTCGATCATTGTTTGATTATTTATGTGAAATATTTTAGTAATATTGGCTAATAGGTTATACGTATTACCATAATATTATAATCTATATGAAATTCTTTGTATAATGTATTTATAATAGTTCTTTATTATATATTATATTAATTTATAGTTAATAACAAGACAATATTAACAGAAGGTCTTGAAATAAATTGGAGTCTCTAATGAATAATATTTAGTGATGTATCTGCAAACAGTAGGTAAACGAATACAGAATAATTGCTTTTGATACTTTTAATTGACTATAAATTTCAAGGAATCATTCAAATAATCAAAATTTAGGCATATTACATATAATATACTTATCCAACTATTTTATATATTTTAATTAAATTCATTTTTTGAAATTATTCCAATAGTTATGTTTTATTATAATACTATGGGACTGATTATTGAGTTAATTAAAATAAGCTAATTTTAGTTCATAAAACATTAATAGATTAATTTTTTTTAAGCTAACAAAAATATTTAATTTTTATTGTAGTTTTTAGAAAATTGTGCAACTATAAATTGTTCAATATTAAATACTATGTCCTATTAATGGAATTTTTTGTTATTTGACAAATTTACACACAATTATGTTTTCCCCTAAAGATTAATTTTGAAATCGTGATTACCTAGTTAATGATGTCTGCCAGTCTTAGAACTTTAAATTACATTTTAAATATCTATATAAATATTTATAAATGTATCGATAATGCTTAAAAAAAAAACCAAAATCTATGATAAGCTAAGTTTTATGGGAATAACATGACGTTTTTTTCCTGTTAATAGTGTTTATTGAAGATATAATAGTAATTCTTAAACAGTTTCGTATAATGTATTAGTACTATTCATTTATAATTCAAGTGGGTAATTTTTTAAATTTTTAATTAAAAAAGGGAATATTGATTAAAATGCATAATAACAAGCACTTATTTTTACATTTTTTTGAAATTTAAGTCACGTTAAATTTAAAAAAAAATGACGCATCCGCCTTCACGTAGATTTTAGTTTCTAAGTTAAGCGAACTCTAACTATGTACATTAATTTATTATTTTATTGATGACTTCATATTATAGAATGGGGTCTGAAAGTTTCAAGTAATAATTAATCTATTAATCAAAAATTAGGCCTATTTAGTACCTATTTTAGAGAAATCATTTTTCAATTTTCTCAGTAGGTATATCATTAATATAGACGCATAAAAATTATCTACATAGTTTTAAGGAAGTTTCAATGAAACGCTGTTCGCTAGTACACAACTTGAAAACAGATGGACCGACTGAGCTTTTTTTTAGTTTATGAATAAGGTTTTAGTTTTTTAAAGAAAAAAAATAGAAAAATAGAAAAATTCGGAAAAGTGCTTTTTTCGATAAAACATCGTTAGTATTTATGATCATAGTGATAAAATGTTTTCAGGGTTAGCTGTATATTATAAAAATTCTTTATATTTGAAAAGCGTTTGCCGAGTCAATTAGTTTTGTAAAAATATATTTTTATTTATACTTAATTTTTGAATGTTTCTACAAATTCAATGTATTTTTATTTTTTTTAAATAGATAATTTATCACATAGGAAAAAAAATATTTAGTTGTAGTGCGTATTTTGAAAAATTCAAGATATTTTTATTTTTGAGTGAGTAATCAAAAATAAATTATAATAATTTAGGATAAAACATGGAAACTTATTTTAGTATTATTTTTTATCTTTTGTACATAATATACGTCATAGATTAAATTGTGTTGTGCTTAGACAGTAGATAATTAATTATAAACTTGATATAAGATAAACTAAAAATAAAAAATAAAGGTGTAGTCAAACAAAATTATAAATTAAAATATTTGTCCATATAAATATTACGTTAAAACAGAAAAATTAAAATGATTTTATAAAATACTTTTATTTATTTTTATTAGGCCAAATAAAATATTGAATAATCTTCATGATAAAAAATTCGGATATTTGGTATACATATTTTCATATAATATATTAGTAGGTACCTGTTAAATATAAACCAGAAAATCATTTAAATTAGTAAAATTATGAGATAATAAGCTTTCAAAATACTAAATATTAATTTTCATTGTTATTATTGTATAACGAGTATTGTTGAGTCATGAGTGGGTAATTATTCAAAGAATTTTGAAATAATAATTAAAATGTAAAATGTTAATTACGAATTAGGTAACATAATTAATATTTAAAGATTGTATATATTTTTAATTAGAAACTGATGGCCACTAGTTGCTACCTTTCCGGTGTATATGATATTATAAAAATATAACATAATACATAATATTATAACGAAAGATTTTAAATAGGGCGAGCCCTGTTTTAAATAGAGTATAATTTTTTTGTGAAATTATCAGTAATTATTTAATTTTAAATTATTGAAAATTTGTATAGCTAAAAACACAAAAATATCTGTAATTCATTTAAAGTCACGGATTGTATAGGTACTACACTATTAACAGCATAATTAGATCAAAAATCCATTTAATTTTCACTCTTACAAAATAGATTTTATATAAATGTATAAATAATATAAATACACCTATAAAATTTACATGAAATTAATGTTTTTATCGATGTTCTTTTAATTACTTTAATGGAAGTGGACATTTATACAGTGGCTCTACGGTATTAACAATTAATAGATGTATTAATTACACTTCATATTCCAAATTCGACAATCGCATATTTTGCGGCCTAAATAACATTGTTAATTCTATAAAAATATGAGATAAAACTGAGGTACGAAAAATTTAATTTGGTATTATTTTTATTATAATTTACTTATATATATATATATATGGAAGATTAATTACAATTTTGAAATAATATAACCAGATGTAATGATAAAGAATTAATTTAATTGGGTTTGTTGAAAAACTGCATTTGCATACTATATTAAAAATAATATAATAAATTATTGTATTATCATTTGAGTTGGTAAGAATTTAATTAAAAATGTAAAGTCATTGATTGTATTTTATTTTATATCTGAAGATCAAATTCATAAGTTAATATAGTAAAAACATCGGTAGAATGATTGGAAGTTTTCTACTATTTTATCATAATATTCTACATGACAGAAAGTAAATAAATTATGAAATAATGATAACAATGAATAATCTTATATTAAGTAATATATTATTGAGATTATTTAAATTACTAGCTTTCTTCAAGGGCAGACTAAATTATCTAAAAATGAGAATGGAACCAAATCGAATAAAATTAAAAATCAAAATCATTTATTTTCATTGAAACATTTGCATAATACTGATTCACATGGTAGACTAATTATTTCACAACTATGATTCTAGTAACATGATCATTAGAGCCTACTTAATATATTTTAATAACTTTATTTATATAGTGAAAATTGGTTGAATCAGATAAGTCTTTAATGAGTATAGAAATGAGAAAAAAAACCTTATTATTTAATAAAAATATCCAATAGTATAAATATTTTTAATAATTAAACACTTAGACAAATATGAATAAGTTTTAATATTTTTGTTATAGCTTGGACGATATAATATGATTTAACTTAAATTAAATTTTGAAGATAACTCAGTAGGTAACACATTTTTTAAACTGTATTCTAAATAAACTGAAAAAAAAACATTGAATTTTAACATTTTTTTTTCTTATTTTAAACATAATAGACGTTTTTATAATATTTGGTATGATATTGCTTAATAAAAACAATTTTAGAACCATTTTACTCCTTAGTTTTCATGATTTTTTTTTTAACAATAAAAAACAATGGGCTTAGGTTTATAGTTACTTATTGTCTTAGGTTACTTTCTAATTATATATACAATGCTTAGGTGAAATCATTGGACTACACACGCTTGTTAAAAGCATAATATCTTCGTAAATAATGATAATGAAAAAATATCTTATAATATTCAAAATAATAATAGAGTTATAATAATTATAGGAAAAAAATTTAAAGCGAAATTTGGTACCTTTGTATATTTAAAATGTTTTAACAAGACATTATTTAAAAATTTATTTTCACAATAAATTAGTATGATAATGATTATCTATTTAATTTATAAAAATTATTATATTTCAGCTTTTTAAAAGATTAAAACATGAAGTACCTAAGTATTATCATAAGGTTTCTGGAGTAGCCGGTGATTGCAGTTTACCGGGTCTAGGATTAAGTGTGAGTAGTCGAAATACATTGATTAACGAAGTGAACATAATTTTCCATGGAGCAGCTACTGTACGTTTTGATGAACATATTCGTATAGCTATGAACATAAATGTTTCTGGAACAAGAGAATTACTAAATTTAGCCAGAAAAATAACCAACTTAAAGGTAATAGTATTTTTAAACTTATATGACTTTTAAATTAAATATTTGTTAGTTTTTATTTTATATCCATTAAAACACGAACTTAAATATTATTTGAAAGTTATACTTGTGTGCTGTATTTCTGTACCTATATTTTACAGATTTTTATAGTATTAAACATTTAAGTTTTGATAAATAATTATCTGTTGTGTATTGAAATATTTTTCTATAAAATAGTATTCCTTAAAATTATAAGAGCCACCACAGTTATATTGTGGTTTACGAAATAATTATATATTTTTTAAAAATTAAACCTTTCTACATTAACAAATATTACAAATAATTTGGTATAAAACTATCTTTAAGATTGATTTAAAAAATTTAATCATAATTTAAAGCCATTTTTATTTAATAATTTTGTTCTTGTCTAAAAATACAGTTTTTATAATTTAAAGTCTTTTAATTAAAAATATAATTATTGTTTGTATTGACATGTCTTAAAAATGTATGCAATTCAAATGTAATAGGTCGAAAAGTTGGAAAACATCGTAGAATTATGACTTTGATACGTGACTATACCCCTATACTGTCTTTAGTAAAAAATAAATGTTCTCTTAGAAACACTATTGTGTTATGAAAAATTGATAGTTAACTAATAAAATTAAAGTTTTTGAATTTCCCTTGTTAAAATTGAATATAGTTTTTATTATGATTCTTATTTCATTAGGTTTTGGCGCACGTTTCCACAGCATATTCAAACTGTAATCGATTGCATGTCGAAGAAAAATTTTACGATCCTATTGCTGATTATGAAGATATTTTAAAATTGATTTCTTCTAACGACGATCAAACGCTTCAAAATATGACTAAAGAGTAAGGTTATTAGTTTTTTTTTTTTTTTATGGGTACATATTTAATAATAACAACAATTTTAAGAATCATTGGTGATTTACCAAATACTTATGCATTTACCAAATCTTTGGCAGAAGACGCCATTCGAAGAGAAGCACAAGATCTTCCAATATTAGTGTTTCGTCCCACTGTTGGTATGTAAACTTGATTAAAAAATTTATAATAGTGTGCCCATATTACAATATATTAGAATTTAGAGTTTGAAATTGATATATGATTCATAAAATGAAATTCATAGACGCTTTTAGTATAAAATATTGTAGAATGTAGATGATGTATTATTATATTATTTTTTAGTTATTGCTACTTACCGAGAACCAGTAAGAGGTTGGATAGATAATGTTTACGGACCTACAGGACTCATAGTTGGAGCTGGTACAGGAGTTCTTCATACCTACTTGGGCAATTCTAATATGGTTACTGATATGATTCCAGTTGACATGGTTGTTAATACACTTATATGTGCAACCAAAGAAACCGCAACAAAGAAGTAAATTAATTTAAAATATAATTTTCATAACATACACGTATTTATATTTTAACTCTAGAGTAAGGAATATATTACTGTTTTACTAATGTTACTGTTTTAAAAAAGTTTTGATTTTATTTCATATATTTGACTCTGTTTAGGAGTGTTTTAAAAGTTGCAGTTATCGATTTTAAATTGTGTCTAATATTTTTACCTTTATTAGGTAATATTTTCTAGTTATTTTTTTACCGTTCTATAAGCTTATGGGAAAACTAATAAAATTCAACAATTATCTATTTATAACTAAATTAATTTTAGTAATTTTATAATAAATCAATATAAGAGTATAAACATAATTTTAAATAAGATATTCTAATTTTGGCGTTGAGATAATCTTTCAATATATTAATTTGCATTTCGTTTACAGAAAAGTAAACGAAATACCGATTTACACGTGTTCAAGTGCAGGACAAAAACCAATTAAGTGGAATGATTTTATTGAGATGAACAGACGTCATGGAATTTACTGGCCCACGATTCGGGCAATCTGGTACTATTCATTCGTGCCCACTAGCAATCCATACTTTTATGCGTTATTAAACTTTTTATGCCATATAGTACCTGGATATATACTGGATACATTAGCTGTCATTGCTGGACAAAAACCAATGTAAGTAATGTATTAAACAAGTAAAATTTGTTATATTATTTAGTATAAACGTAGGTATACAGTAAAACCTTTCTATAATGGAATCGCTTGGGACCAATAATTTTTCCGTTATAAAGAATTTTTCGTCATAGGAGGATTAATTTCATATTACTTTTGAATCGGGACTATTGACATTTTCCGTTATGAGGATTCCGTCTAATAGAGGGTCTGTTATAGAGATGTTTTACTGTATTTCTATTATAATAAATTTGAAATGTCTAATAAGATCTTTTATATAAATATAATGTCATAATAACTTACAATTGTTTTTTTTTTCCATATAGACTGATGAAAATTTATAAAAAGATTGATAAAGTACGTGATATATTAGCCTATTTCTCTGACAAAGAATGGACCTTCACTAATGATCGAGTAATGGCATTATGGAATAATCTTGATAGTCAAGATCAAGATATATTCAATTTTGACATCAAACAATTATCCTGGGAATACTTTAGTCAGGCACATTGTCTTGGCTTAAGAGTGTACTTGGTTAAAGATGATATCCACACATTGCCAGCGGCGAGAAAAAAATGGGAAAAGTAAGTTATTCAATTGAGAATGTGTCACTTTATGATAATAAAAAATGTGTTAATAAATTGCGCGTAAATACATTTTTGACCTTCTATTTTTAAAATAAGTCTATATTTTGAATTTGAAAATGAAAAGAAAAATAATACATTTCTAAATAGTTTTATACCTACATAAACATGCAATATAAACCCAATGGTTTTTTTTTTTTTTATTTCATAATAATAAATAAATGTAATGGCCATTAAAGGTGTAATAAGCAGGAGTGATGCATCAAGAATTTTGTGAGGAATTATTTGACACTCCTATCTTATTTTTATTTAATATTTATAGTATATATTATAAATATTATTATTTAAAAATCACAAGTTAAGTTATTTATAAGGAAAAAAAGTATGATAAATAAAATAATAGAATTATTTATGTTCTATAAATGAAAATTTGAAAAATTGTATTGATTATATAATTTTGAAATAACGTTGATTCTTTTTTGTAGCAATTTATTTTATTTTTTTCAAATACCTAATACTAATTGTATGTTTTGATTTAGGTACTGAGTGAAACCATTAATTTATTAATTTTATAATTATATTAATTTTTTCTTAAATTTTTATTTATTTTTTGTTTTTATGTCCGACATAAAGATACTTTTTACAGAAAAAAAAAAATATTCCAAACTTTAACTTAAATATAATTTCTAGTTGATCCTTACAAGAGTTAAAACGCATAGTTTCTTGTTAAATATTGTTTTTTATTCGATTTTTTCTAATCTATTAAATTCATCTATTCAATGTCGCAGTACAGTCTGCACCTATTGTATAATAATCGAGTGATTACTTGTTTACCTGCTTTTTAATTATTAAATAACACTATAATAAGATAACAGATGTCTTGGTAACATTTTTTTTTTTTTTTTTGAATATTATAGTTTTATTTTTTATTTTCTCTAAAAAAAAAACAACTTGAGATAACTATATTATAGGTACATTGTACATTTTTCAAACTAAAACTTTATTTTTAATATCATCGCATATTGACTACTTATTAGGAATATTACGGTTTATGAATTATAGTCATAACTAACGACATATGCAATTTGTATATGTGACACAATATTTAAAAAAAGAACGGTTGCAATCCAATTCTTTTAAAACATTTCTTGATAAATTATTTTGTTTTTGATTTTATTCAAGATTTCTGAATAATTAGTTACAATACCATCCATTGACCAAAGATTATTATCATATTATTAAATTGTTTTATTGTTTTCAGATTATACATTGCGCATATATCTTTATTAGTATTTATATACGCATTCTTGCTGTACTGTGCATGGATTATTATTTACTTCTTTCTCAAATTGACTGGTTTCGTGTAAAGAAAATCTAGCAGATTACAACATGACTGATTATTATTGGATTTGTAACCAACATTTACCTATTGAAAGTATTTGTAATTATAAGGATATGTACCTAAAAGTGTTTTATGTTGTTTTAGAAGAAGGTATTTCTCCGAATGCAAAGTCTAATTTGTTTACTTTTATTGTTAGATATTTCAACAAGATTGAGTTCTATATACTTGTATATTAGTTATTACTAATATTAGGTCGTTTATCACGCTTATGGTCTGATTTGACCTATTAGTTGTGACAATAAAATATTATTAGAATAATTAACATACAAAATCTGTTTTTTAAAAAGTCGCTGATTCACTTAAATATTGTTAGTCATATTCTTTAATTGTATACATTTATGATATAATCTACTTTGAGTTTGTTTATTTTTAATTTTGAAATATTTTAAAATATTTAAATAATAATTTTAAAATATTAGGTAAATTTTATTTATACCTAATTCCTTTTAAACGCGTAAATATTTTTTAATCATTGCGTTATATTATGTTATATATTTTATTTTTTAGTTATACTATGTCAAAGTATAATCATTATATTAACATCATAATTCATAATATGATATCTACTATGTTTAAATCTTACCTTAGGTAAGCTGTGTTAAAGAAACTTATAAATTATAACATCGTTTTGAAAAATAATTTTTAGTAATAAAATATTGTTAAGTATCTCATAAAATGTATATAATTAACCATTAATTGAGTTATGAATTTATGATCTTAATTTATTAATAGTTAATTTTGCAATACATACACACATAAATAATTATATACTTATAACCCTATGGATCTATGAATAATATGAATACTACACGTATATTAAGTTATATGTATGATCATAATTTCGTAGATTGAAATATATATTATACATTGTAACAATGTAATTTTTAGAAAGATTTTGTATTTTTGCCAGGTTATTACGTATTTTGTTTTATACATGTTTAACTTTGTGAAAATTATATGTTTATATTTTATTTTTTAAACTTTATATTGTTTATTGTATACTCTATATCAATATATTGTTAATTATGTACATTGTATACGAATATACGTCTTGTATCTAAATTTGTATCTAATAATTCATTTAAGAGTGCAAAAAATGTTTCGTTATTAAACATTGAAAGTTGTTTTTGGTATCAGATTTAATCGGTGCATTTGAATTGCATGCCAACTATTAAAGGGTTTCTCGAGGATGCAGCCGATTTAATCAATTGGGTAATTTAGGGGTAAAAATAAGAAATTTCCAGTACTTTATTTAATAATTTTAATTTTCGAAACAGATTAATATAATAACTTCATGAAAATGGAAATATTTAGTATTTATAAAACAACAGTTTAATGTTTTGGTTTTCCTCTTCAATATTTCTTTTGGTAGAGAAATGGATTTTGTTAATACACATTTTTAAAAGGAGGGGATAATAGTAAAAAAATTCTAGTTGTATCATTCGTTTCTAGATATAAACAAGCCACTATCATGTTAAATTAGATCAAGATTTTTAATTCAGGTCAGTTCTATGTTTTAGATTTTAATATTAAAAGAATTGATCTATTATATTTCTACAATTTAAGTCTGTAAAAATATTATTTAGAAAATCTCATAGAATCTTATTGATATTTTTATTTTATATTTTATAATCAAACATATGAAGTACCGTAGATAATATTTTTATATTATTTTTATTTATATTATTCTTATATTGACTACATAAAATTTGTTCTGCTGATCATATTTGTTATATGCTTTAACGTATAATGGAGATATCATACGTAGATGTGATTAGTAATGAAGATACTTCTCACCACGAATCGTTTTAATCACCACTAATTTTTGTAAAAGTGCAAATATTTATATTTGATGATTAAAAATCGATATTGATGAACTTAATAATATGAATTTTCGTGATACAATTGGAGTATAAATTTTCTATTATTATTATTATAGTTATTATAGAAATAACAAGAAAATACGTTATATAATAATACATGGTTAAATTATAAAATGTAGGTAATTTGTAGTTATTATTATCAATAGGAACCTAATAAAATAACAAATTACACATGGATCAAGGAAATATTCGTCCCAATGAAATTAATATACTTATAAATGACCATTTATAGAAACGTGGATAACTTATAAGCCTTGGAATGATATGAGTTCTACCATAATATCAATCAAATGTGAACTATAGGAGTGCTATCTCCACAATGCCATAAAGCTGTATTATACAACATTATACGCTGTAATTAAGTTTGAACATTCTAAAATATAAAATAACCGTAATCATCTTCTTCTTGGTACCTACCAAAACTAATTGCACCATCCAAGTAATTGATAATTATAAGTGAAATAAGTATTTACCTAGAACATCTATTTTTGATCAATTTAATATTTATACAAATATTTTATTTGATTTTGCAGTACAATATTTTTACGCAAACTTTGTAATTAAAGTTAAACGTAATTTAAAAATTTTTACGGTTATATGGCCTTTAATGACATACATATTTTATGTCAAAAATATTCTATAACGCTGGTAGAATATTTTGAATAGTATAAAAGATTCTAAAAAGACTAAAAAATGGAATTTCGGGTAGTTATATTTTTTTTAAATCTAGGTGTATGCTATAATCGTAATATTACTTTAAAGACAGTAAAAATAACGGATAACTAAAAAGTTTTAATAACTTTTTAGGGCATTAATGATCATGAAAATAATTTATTAGTAACTATTTAAAAGTTTAAGCAAATATTACAGGCAATGATAACGAAGTTATAAGAAATTGTATTGCAATTGTAACACTAAATATGACATAAAATATTTAAGATTTAAAATAATAAAATGTAGTCAATTAATTTTGAAAAAAAAACAGACGAATTTGTGTAGTTTTATATTTTATGTAATATAAACAAATAAAATAGAAAATTTTATTATGTATTAAGTACATTTTACTTATCAAAAATAAATGATTATGCAGAGAGAGTGAGAGAGAGAAAGAGAGATATTACAAAAAATGCATTTAACATTGACTTCCTAGTCAATAATAATAGCTCTCATTTAAATTTCCATAAATATTAATAAAATTGTATAAAAATATTTCAATATTGTTAGTATAATATAGGTTTCTGAGTATAAAGCCTAATTTATATAGGTATATATATATATCAAAAGAAGCTTACTAAAATTCAACTAAATACATATGTGCCATTAAATTTTTTTTCACAGTTTTATATGATGGTGTTATAAAATTGTATGATATTTTTATTGACGAGCTGTAAGAAAATCAAATAAGTTATTAAAATGTTTTATTATTTAAAATAACAAAGTCAAAATTATTGAATACACATTTATAATATGATAAAAATATTTTATAATAAAATATATTGAAGAATAATTATTTTTGTATAATGGAGAATTTATCTTATTTTTGTTTATTTTATTTATTATTTCAACGAAACATTTAATAATGAGAAAATGCTTAGAAATTAATTAAGTGTCTCAAGTCAATTCATATTTTTATTAAAAATGCATAAAAATTATTATAATGTTTTTCTTTTTTTCCAATAACAATTTCTTCATATACTATTAAACGTGTTAAATATTTACAAACTATGTTAACTTAAGTGTACATGGTTTTGTTATAAGTTAAGAAATATGTCAGAAATAGACCTCGACGATCTACAGTTGTTTTATTCTTTTCTATTTATTTAATTTATTTACTAACAAAATCAAAACAAAATAATATGTATTCCTGATAAACAAAATGGCGTGAATTCAATATACTATATTTTCTTGTTATCGAATCGTAAATATACGTTTTATAATCATGTATGTATTAAATATAAAAAAAGTAGAAAGTAGGTAATCACTCAGTCTGTACAGTAGACATCGAGTGGACCATGTTTTTAAGGAGTAAGTCATTGTAGTTTATTTGTAAAATTTAAATTCTATAAATGATTGCATCTGAAAAATTATTTTGATCAAAAACAAACTGTTATTTTATATTGTATTTATACTTCTAAGACTGTAAAAACATAAATAAAAAAATTTACAAAATATTAAATGTTTACAATAAAATATCTACTTTTTTTATGTCCAATGATTGTGATGGTGGTAAAGAAAATATAATTGAAGATAAAAATACATATTAAAAAATAAAAATGTAATACAACTTAATTTAAACGGAATAGCACAAAACAACAAAATAAATTAATTCAAGAAAAATAATTATGTTTTATTTGAAATCTCTTTTACACTGTTCCATCCTTTATTTTTATAATTATTTTTTTACACTTAAATAAAATTGCTAGTGAAAATAATCATAGGTTAATTTGTTTTTTTATATATGTAATGGAATTGAATTGCAATATTTTTGATCTAAATATACCATGTATTTTTGAACAAATGTTTTTTTGTTAAAATTTATTTTAGCATCAAATTCTTTTATTTCCTTTATTTGTTTTATATTTTTTGCATTCAAAAATGTTTATAATCATGTTTATTGTGTTTATAATTTTATATTATATATAAAATAGTCACCTTCTTATATGCGCTCTCGATTGCTGTTACGTTCAATAGCTTAAAATTTTCTTCAGTTGAATCTAATAAGGTATTTTTACATAGACAGAATCTTATGATTATTAGTATTACTTATTAGTTAAACATGTTTGAAGCTTTCACTGGATCTTCTGATGGAAATTATATGTTCCATATTATGCATTAATGATTTAATTTTATAATACATTTTTATATTTTTAGACATTGTGAACTCATTGATTAATTTCCAAATTAGTTTTTATCTGAAACAAACATCAATAAATTTTATTCTTTAAAAGTTATTTTTAGTAATTCCTAAGATTTTTGTAAAAATTCTTTTATATATTATATAATGTAATAGTAATTTACCATTATTAGGGGGTGTTTTTTTTTTAACTTTTAAAGATAAAGCTTTTTTCTACGTATTGTAAGTAACAGATTTAGAGTCATCTATTCGTTTGCGTATTTATTTTTTACAATAGAGTTATTAATTTATGGAACAGAATTTATCACACAAACAATTTCATCAATAAAACTGTCAGAACATCTGTTTTATACATTTCTGATCTGGTTTTTTATTTTTAACAGATCATTAATTTATTACAATTGATTGTTTTGTATACATTTTTATTATATGAAAAACATTTTATTATAGTCTAATGATCGAAAATATTCGTTTGGATAACTCCTTCCTCATTATCGACATAACTATTATATAATACTTTTAAAATATAATATGGTCTAATTACAATTATTATAAGAATGTGTACAACC